CAAATACTGTGATCTTACCTTTTATGATTAAACCTGAAGAACAAATGGTTCTCTGTGGTTTTTCCCACTTGAAAAGCAAAAAGTTCTTTTCTTTTCTTTTTTTTGTTAAAAACAGTTATTTTCTATCATATATATTTTTCTTCTCATCTTTCATTCATGACAACCATCACTGGAAAATGGAGTGACTTAAATCTGGGCACATGACTAGGGAATTATTCTTAATATTTGTTTAAGACTGCTGTGTGCCACTGAGTCAATTCTGACTTAAAGCATTCCCATGCAATGGAGTAGAACTGCCCCATAAACTTTTTGAAATGTTTGGTGTGTTCTAAGCTGTTTCCAGGGTATATGGTAGGGATACAAAACCTTCTCAAACTTTTACCTTTGAGATTGCTCTATGATTAGAAAGTCAATTTGAAATCATGCAAGAAGCCAGAAAAAGCATTTTGAGGATGACTTTGATGCGATGCACTATGTTCTCTGCACAAAGAACAAGTTGTACACAATAACTAAATATTTTTGCTTTTCTCTTTACACTCAAAATAGTCTAATGTCACAAACAGGTATCTAGGAAATACCCAGGGGCTTTATTATGAACACAAATTTCTGGTTTCATCAATAGATATTCTGTTTCTGTAATTTGGGGTGGAATTTATCAACTGCATCTGGAGATTCTGATGCAGGTGACCAGCGGATCATACTTAAGGAAAAGACAGGAAGAAGGAGTCAGAAAGAAGATAGGATGTAATTCTTCAATCCCGTCATCAAAAGACATTGCACTCTGAAAGCAAAATGATATCTGGTACGATCTCCTCAAATTAGTCACAGACTTCTGCTAAACAACATGTAGCATACTTAAATTAATTTAAATATGATACTTAAATTTATGGGAAAACAAGGTTACAAAATAATCAATGTAATTTGATTCTGTTTAGAATTTTACAAAGAAGGCACAAACTGGCATTAATTGGTAATCTCAAAGAATACAATTTAGCCTGATGTTAATTCTTTTCCTTTGTACTTTGTATGCTTTCAAATGTATTACAAGGAGCCTTGGTGGTACAATTGGTTAATTGCTGGGCTGCTAATTGAATGATCAGCGGTGTGAATCCACCATCCAATCTGAGGGAGGAAAGCCCCGATGATTCTTTTCCCAGACGATTACAAGCTAGGAAACCTTATGGCTCAGTTAACTCTGTAATTGAGTTGCTATGAGTCGGAATCAACTTGATGGCACAGAACAAGAACAAATCTATTACAGTGCATTTTTATCATTTGAAAAGTCGGGGGCTCTTGCACAGTAGTAAGTATAGTACTCTTTGGTGAACAGTTTTTACAAAAGAAAGCAGTAGATATCTCATTACCGAGCAGTGATTTTACTGTGTAACAGACCTTCTCCCAAGAGACCAGGAGATTTCTGTGTTCTAGGAGATGACACTTGGACACATATATGTTATACTTAAAAAAAATTGGACCATTCAGTATTACTCTATTCCTAATCATATAAACCATGAATGCTTTCGTTTTTGTCAAAAGGAAAATTACATGAGTGAATGAAAAATAAATGAAGATCATACAAAAAACAAATACACACATTTTCTTTCAGATCTCAAGGAAAGGAAGGGAAGCCTAACAGCAGTACTAGAAAGATGAACAGAAACTAGCTCACTTACTCGCAATTAGCAAGCATGGACAAGGATGCATCCATCTTCTCGATAGGGGGAATCTGGGCATAAAGCTTTATCTCTTTGGTATCAAATGGCTTCTGACCCGTTTTCTCTTCCTGTGATAAAAATAAAGATGGAGAAAATGATCCTGAATTGTTATATGGAGACAAAAACAACCGGAATTTCCTAAGGTGTTTCAATGCTTACTTGTTCAGAATTTAATAAGTGAATTCTTTACCATCCTTTCAATGAAATCATCTACCTACAGTCTCTAGAGGTAGACAGGCTTCTACGTGGCTAAATTAGACAATTTATTATTTGGCCCTGGCCAAATAGGTGGAAAGGAGGAAGAAAGAGAATAACTTTTATTCCTGTAATAGTCACAATCCTTTAAGAATCCAACAATCCATAAGCAAAAACTAAATTTAACACCCCCACCCCCACCGCCCGGAAAAGTTTTTGTTTCTTAACCTACTTTTCTTTTTTAAAATTCTATTTTATTAGGGGCTCATATAACTCATCACAATCCATACATACATCAGTTGTGTAAAGCACATTTGTACATTCATTGCCCTCATCATTCTCAAAACATTTGCTCCCCACTTAAGCCCCTGGCATCAGCTCCTCATTTCCCCCTTCCCTC